CTAATATGAGATTGTATAATATATTATATCATATATTACAAAAGTAATTATTTTTTTATTCTTTTTTATAATATACTTAAAAAAAATATATTATTTGATTTATATTTTGATTTGAAATATTTATGCAATTTACTTTATATTTGATTCATCTTGATCCGATTATAATTTTTTTATTTTAAACATTTATGAAATACAATTGAGTTTTTCTTTTTTCTTAATTTCAAAAATGTTTTTGATGAATGAAATAGGTTAAATACATGTTTGCAATTTGCAATATCATTTTATTTAATTTTTTGTTTTGAAACCGGTTATGTTATGGGATTTCTCGTACCGTTCTCGTCTCATCCCGTTCTATCTCATTCCCATCCCGAATTTTAAATGAGATACAAATGAGACATATTTTTCTAGTCCCAAAAATTCCGTTCCCGTAAAATCTCGTCCCATATTCCTATTTGCCCACGCTGAAAACATACGGTGATACTAGTAGACTACAGACCAAGGGGAATCCCGGCCGCAATTAATAAACCGGACCAGTGCGGGCACGCAACACAATTTTCTTTCGATTATTATTTAATCCTTTTTCTTTTGTTCCCTCTCTTCTCTAATTTGCGTGCAAACTTCTCCGATCCAGACTCCATGGATGCTGCAAAAGCTTCGAAGCCCAAAGACAGAGATTTTCTGAATCATCTCGAGACATACCTCGCGAAAAGAGATGGCGTAGACAAACTCTTAAAGATCTCTCGTTACGCTACCAAGATCATCCTCGCAACTTCATTGATCCCAGAAACTTCTGGATCTTTAATCACCCGTCTCAAAACCTTCGAATCCAGTGTCGGAGTTAGCCGCAAAGCTTTCCGTCTCGGGAAATTCGTACAAGACATCAACGCCTTAAGAAGCTCACGATGGGATTCGAATCAGGAACTCTTATTGCTTCTCGTCGCTTACGGTGGCGAAGGATTGTATTACTTCGTCGAGCAGTTTATCTGGTTGGTGAAATCGGGTTTGATCGATGGTAAACATGGGAAATGGCTTCAAAGGATCAGTGCTTGGGCTGAGTTGATTGGTTACGTTGGTAGTGTTTCGTTGAAAATTAGGGATTTGAGGAAGATTAAAGATGATGAGAGTTGTATCGCTTCCACGATTGAGATTTCGATCTCGAGAGGGATTTCTTGT